AACAGTTAAACGAGTTAAACGAGTACACAATGTACATGACATTACTTGGATATGGCAATTTGACTTTGTGTTGAACGCTTTCAATAAATTAAGCTCTTTGAGCACCACGAATCATTTCTTCTATTATGTCAGGATCAAATTTTTCTGAAGGAGGGGCACAACTTGGCGAGTCACCACCTTGCTTAAACTGAACTTCAAGTTCTTGCTCATCATGTGCAGTCCAGTATAATTAATTAGGTTTGAAGCCCGTTAAAGATCTAACTTTACTTCGAGTGGCAGAAAAGCGTGATTTTGTGATTTACACAAGAATACCAAAACTTACCGTCAGAACAATAGATGGGTACTTTTGATGCCACCTGCACGAATTCATTAACGCCATTCAAGAACTCATATGCCAGTACTTTTTGTCCTAGATATAATATGTTATACATCCACACTCTCAAACTATGAATATTCATTTGCATCATAAATGTAGTTTTACAGATCAATGCAACTATTACATAATTAAAAATTAGCAATACTTATCAATATATACAGTGTATGATTATGCTTAGTGGTTCTTTGGAACTAATTCTAATAGAAGGAAAAGACCCATGAACCTCTTTTAAGTGCCTCGCTTTATTCATTGAACTCGACAGTACTTGGTTAATAACATATAAGACACTTCTTCGAAGTGGTTTGTTTTCAAAACAATATACCTAATTCATTCCTCTAATTCAAAAAACCAATTTGAATTCTACTAATAACATTCCCATCTATATCACCATCACTGTGAACGAGACCAGATGTACTCCTCCAGTTCAACCAACCAACTTGAATTCTACTAACAACATCCCCATCTATTTCACCATCACTTTGAGCAATAGACCCGATCAATGCATGCCTTCTTCCACTTCTACCAATCAACCCTAATTCTACTAATGACAATATTTCTACATCACCATAACTTTAACAATAGACTCGATGCATTCCACCATTTCAACCAACCAACGTGAATTCAACTAATATATGAATTTCATACATATCACTCAATTCTTATGTATGTACACAGGAAACATCTAAACTTGAATTTTAACATACATATGATTGAACTCTTGTGTATATTCATACATAACCCCAAAACTTTAATTTATACATATCATACCACATTACCTATGCATTTAATTCATAAATATCACTCAATTCTTTTATATATATGAACTTAACACCCTAACTTCAATTTTTACATGCATACCATTGAACTCTTATGCATATACATACCTAACAACAAAACTTCAATTTATACATACATAATACATTACCTATGCATATAACTCAATTCATATGTATGTACAAACCTAACTCCTGCAATATTTACATGCATACCACGAACTCTTATTTATGTACATACCTAACACCAAAAGTTCAATTTATACATACATACCACATAACCTATGCATATTATAACTCATAGATATTACTAAATTCTTATGTATGTCCAAACCTAACACTAAAACATCAATTTTTACATGCATGCCACAAATAAATGATAATAGTGATGCAAATAGACTCACCTACTTTGAAGTTTTTTTATTAGAGGGAGTTTGTTCATCTCTGTAAGCTCGAACCACGCGTTGGACGTCAATCTAGCTCTAATGGCAACTTTATTGCGAAGCTTAGTCGGGAAGGAGATAGTTTTGAGCGAAATCGAGAGGGAGAAGGAGAGTAGAGAGAAGAATGGTAGAAGGGAAGCTCGGGAGAGGTTTCCAACAAACCGAAAGTCAGGAGAGGATCACAAGGGATAGGAGGAAGGAAATGAAATATTGGTGCGCGGGTTGAGTAAAGTAAATCAGTTACACCGAATTTTCATCTAATCTACATCGGAATTAGTTCTACTCTTATAATTAGCATTTTTTTGATAATTTATTAGACGTAAATTTGACGTAAAAACTATCGCAACCTCATCACAGTTTTCACCTTTTTCATAATACTCTTTTATGTCAATTTTTTTGACGCAAATCGAAGCAAAATACGCCGCAAATATTAAAATTTATTATTTACAGTTTAACAGCTGTAAATCCGACGCTAATTTTTTTAGCGTCGGAAAAATCTGACCTAAATTTCGAAGGCTAATTACAGCCTCTCCTGTAGTGAATGGACCATGAACATGGTGCAATGACACCACCCTGAAGACAATGCAGCAATACTCCTCAAAGACAATGCAATGACATATTTGTTAATATAGAATATAATCAAAAACTGTGAAGATGAGGGTTAAATATGAAAAAGGATATGTCATTGTTGCTCTTATTACTCTACCTCACTATTATAAGTGTCTAAAAAAGAACTTTGTTTTCAAGACTTTGGTCTCTCTTTGAAACTATAAGTAGCAATATAGCAATACTTCTTCCTATGAACAAGACTTTGGTCTCTCTCTGAAACTATAAGTAGCAATATAGCAATACTTCTTCCCTCACACCCAAAATTCTACTTCTCTTTATAGGCAGATACCTCACTACCATCTCTTTTCTTTCCCCTCCATGTCTCTTTATTGCTTATTATTAAGTGATGCTATATAAGTGAGAGTTATATAGGTTTATATATTCTAGAGTTCACCTTCTAATATTAATGATAATTACTATTTAAGTTTTTTTATAATCATAAACTTTCAAAAAAAAAATAGATTAATAAAAACTACAACACGCACACACATACACACAGTGCACCATTGGGTGACAAGTTAGTAGGCAGCTAGTTGTGTTGTCAGTCCTAAGACTTTTCTGACCTGGGTTTCCATCCCTACAGGGAAAGATAACACATACGAGAGCAGTATTGTTGTTTGTTGGTATATTTGGCTTGTTAGAAATAATGTTAATCACAATGATATTTTGATTTATGCACTTTCATGTTTTGTTTTCATTAAGAATTATATTCTTAAGATGCTACATTTTGGTATTTTTAAGAAACCTTCGGGTATAAACTTGAGGAATTTATTTGACAAATATAATTTCTCTATACCCTCTTATTGCAAGTTTGTTACTAGTTTGATTTATTGGAAAAAGCCTTTAAGAAATATTTTAAAAATCAATATTGATGGTAGTTGGAATACTTCTAATGCTGGTATTGGAGGAGTTTGTCGTACTCATACTGGGAATTGTTTATTTTGGTTTTCTACTCCTTTTATGACTTATGCTCCTATTTGTGCTGAAGCAGAGAAGTTGTTATAATCGTCTTAGATTTAGCTATTAGATGTGGTTAGAGTTTAAATGTGATTAAAATGTTGGGAATTATTGAATTATTGTACCAAGAAAAAATCGTATCATTAGATTCTTATTATTCAAATGAAAAAAAAAAATTGTTTTTCTTAAGGCTATGCAGATAAACTGGTTATTTACTCATCGTGAAGGAAATCAATGTGCAAACTGTGCTGCAAAAAGAGGAATGGAGAAGCAAGACTTCATTTTTTCCATTAAGCTTCCTCGTGACTTATCTATTATTATCAAAGGCGACTGCTTTGACTTACCATTTATTCGACGTGATAGTGTTTTTTAATTTCTTTGCATGAATTGTATCTAGTGATCAACGGTGATCAACAGTTCATAGGATTTTCTTTTAAAATTGTTAGGGGTCAGTTGAACTATTAATCACATTATCTTTGTACTTATTTTCCTCATGAAATAAAATTTCCCTATGGGATTTGATTAAAAAGAAATACACACACCTACACACATACAATATCATCACATACATTTACACATACATACAAGCATCAAACTTTAGAAATAAGAAAGTCATGATCTAAAGTAAGTTCATGCCTAGGGCTGTAAAAAAAGCTCGTTGCTCGCGAATAGTTCGTGTTCGGTTCGTCAATGAGTTTGTGTTTGATTCGTTCAATAAATAAGTAAACGAGACGAGAGACGAACTGAACAATTTTTTTCAGTTTGATTAGTTAAACGAACCAAACACGAACAGCGATGTGTTTGTTCGTGTTCGAATCGTTATTGTTCGAATTATAAAATAATTTAAAATAATTTTATATAAAAAATTTATGATATTTTAAAAAAATTAAGTTTTATGAATTATAATATAAAATAAATTAATAATAAGAATATATTAATATACTATATTAGTAATATACTAGATATTATATATTTATATAATATAAGTTATATAATTAATATAATATATTATTTATATATATTAATATTAGGGATGTCAAATTGGCTCGTCGTTCGTGAACAGATTG